TTTCAATTTTTCCCCTCTCAAACAATCTTTTTCTCACCATCGACAGTGTGAATAGTAGAGAGTACTTGACAAAATGTGTCTTATGTTCCTGCTCAAGTTTTCGTTCTGTTTAACCTAGGATGACTTCTGACAGCTGCTGTATATGAAAGGGTTAATACTGAGGCATGCCATTAGCACAGCCCACCTGCATGATGCCATATGGATCGTGGGCAAAACAGCCTATGATCTTATAGGGGTGCGACCTAGCATCGGGTCCTCCTCAAAGTTTCTCTAACAATGTCTTACCTATCAAAGTAACTAGTTGCTAGCTTGTAATACACTATTTATTGTTCAATACAAGAAACTCTTCTAATTAAACAGACGGTGGTTTCCCTCTAACCAGTTAGACCTTGAGGCTCGCTACAGTTAAAGAGGATTGTAGCAGGAAACCATCATAAGAGCAGCAGCTCAGACAGCGCTGTGAGCTGGCATGGTTGTACAACAGGAGCCAAGCTTCTCATGGTTCAGACTGTGTTTCTCTTTCTCAGGCTAGAGGATCAAATGTCCCATTGGCCTTTAAACCACCTTCAATGCATTATTAATGTTTGACATTTCCTTTGACTGGGAGTCCCATTTCCACGTTAAATGAGACACAGTTGGAAGATATTCACATCAGAAGGAATCTTCCTGGCTTAACTAGCACATTAAAGCTGGCTTCAAATTGAAAGCAAAGCCATTTCCCAGTTGTCAGATACGCTGGAGCTGGGAGGCCAACTTAGAGCTGCCTCACCCTGAGCTTTTACATTTAAACAGAGCATCTTGTATCTATTTATATTCCTACACAGTGAATCTGTATCTAACTGCACGGAGCTCTATTCATCCATACATAATCATAACACGTATTAATGGGAAAACAGGGAGAATACATTTGTACATAGACTGTTTATATGGATCATTTAGGATGATCCATGGCACTGCACCAAAGCGAGGGGCAGGGTTGCTGCCGGCCGCGGCGAGAGCGAGGGTCGGGGTCGCCCCCTGCCGGCC